AGTACGCTATATGTGGATTTATTTCATGGATTTCAAATATTAATTTTTAAATTTTCTTGTGGAGTCCTCTTTGTATATTTAAGTGATGAATTATAAGGCTGGGGTTTTATTTCCGGATTTTTTGTGGGCTTATTGTTGATAAAATACGGAAGCTGGGCTTTAACACTTGTGGCAATCAGGCTTTAGGGGCTTTTAGCGAATTTCCCATATAGGGAATAAGCTATTACCGTAGTACTCATGGTAAGACCTGGACGCGGGACCCATTTTTTTTTTCGTTTTGAGGTCCCTAGAGGCCAAAAACACCATCCGTTCAAATTCATATATATATATATATTTATATATTTATATATATATATATATATATATGTCCGTCAGCACGATAACTCGAGCAAAAATGATCCGATTTGGATGAAATTTGGTACAAATGTGTAAACGTACGTTTATTCGAACGAGTTCGCGATCCAGCATGATCGGACCATGGGAACGGGGGTTTACGGGGGGTTTTATGGGGTAAAAATAGGTTTTTCCTATTTTTGACCCAAAAAACATAAAATTTAGCGATTTCTTTCCAAACCATTTTGTAGAGCTTAAAAAAACAAATAATTTAGTATATTGAAGCGTTATTATGTGCCTAATAGTTACGGAGAAAATTCCAAAAAATTGTAAATTTAAAATTCCCATGTTATTCTTATGGGGAATAAGTAAACTGTTGTAGTTTGCTTGTTTGTGAACATATTTTGATCAAATTTGGAAAATGTTTTTATTTCTCACTACCTATTCACATTTTACAAACAAAAAAAGTTTTACCCTCCTTGATGCAGCAAACCTAAGTACTTGTTAAACTAATTCTATTTAAATCAAGAATAAATGTTATATTTTTAAGTAGACATTTCAGTGTAAATCCAATCAGTCAAATGGAAATTCGCTTAGTCTGCAGGTTTGCTGCGGCGGGGGTATTTGATTCTGGAATATTGTTTAGGATTTTGGTCGTGTGGCAGGTTATATCAGTTACAAATTCTTTATTTGTTGAGTTCAGGTTCTGTTTAGAGGTTTCTATGTTTTCGTTTTCTCTGAAACTAGTCTCAATCGTAGTTTGATCGCTACTCGTTATCAAGTCTACAGTTGTCAGTTCATCCTCAGTCATATCCAGAGTCACAAGAAGCTCCTCAATCGCTAGTTGGTCTTCTGTCGCTGGTTGAATTTTAGTTGGAAGTTTATCTTCAGTCGTTAGGTGGCTTTTGGTTGCTTTATGTTTTTTTGTACCAGTAGATGTTATAAGCCTGCCCTTTCTTAGAAGGGTTTTTGTAGTTGCTTTGTTTTTTGTAGCTGCTTGGACTTGGTTTGTAGTTTGGTCATCTTGGAGCGTATGCCCCTAAGATTCACAGAGCTTTGTCTCAAATTGCATTTACATGGATTCCGTCTCGTGAGTAGGGGTCTTCCCCAAAAGAGCTAGTAATGTCTACAAAATTTATATGTAGCTGTTCGCACATGAATCTGAGGGCATCATTTATTTGGTCGATATAGCAGTTCCGAGCATCCTTTTTGTATAATATAGTGTACGCATGTCATTTAGTTTCAGTATGGATTTTTTAAGGGACTCGATAGTGTACCAGAGGGGTCTCATTTGATGATTTGGTGTTGGGGCTTTCTGGACATTGTTTGATCCCATATTAATTATAAATTTAATAGGTAGTTTATTTTGGTAACACAGGAATCTGCAATTTTCCCTTCCGGCATAACTCTATAGTGAATTTCATGAGATTTGAAACACTTGAGGGTAGTGATGGCTCTTTTAAGAATGGAATCACTGATTATTAGAGCATCTGGCTCGCTGGCTTCTCTTGTGTTAGGTTTGTGTTAGTCGGTAGGCCTACTATCCTGAGTGAGGTTAGGGTTTGCTCTCAATGAGGTTGTAGGAGGTCGGGTATGTGATAGGGGTATTAATTATTTGTTGTACTGCTCGTCGATGGTTATTTTTAAGGTTTTATCTGTTGTAGACTCCGAGGCGATCTTAACCATATTTAAGTGCGTCAGTCTAAGTCAGATGCGTGAGTCTAACGTAGTAAGAGCTCTGCCACAACCACCTGCTCTGCTCAATTAGCATCTTAATGGAAAGAATCGTTTTCAACTCGTCAGTAATTCACGTTTTCCATCTCGGGGTGCTCGATAGCTGGTGCCTTCTTGTCTCAAAACGGTTATCGTTACTTTTGAAGCTAGTAGGACTAGTTTGGGACTATTAATTACATTTTATGTCAGGAAATGTGTTTGCCTTACGTCAAATACGTTTGTTATTTTCTTGCTGTAATTGTAATTTATTTGACACTTGTATCATACCCTCTGATCATCCAACCTTTTTGTTTTTTGTTTTATAGTTCTATTTACAAATACTGATAGTTCTATTGTTGCAAATTTTACATCCTGTGGTTCATTTATACAGATTCAATCTTTACCTGAAATTGTTCATCGTGATGGGAGTCAACTGGATAATGGAGTTAATTGCAGTTATTGTAGGACCAAACATTTGGTGTGTTATACCCAATCTTGCCAACACACTCCAGGTTAGTAACGATGTCGATATTACTGCAATTTGAGGAATTAAATACTAAGTGTACAAAGCTGTTGTCTGCTTGCGTTATTGAGTGGAGCAAGCATATTAATCAAATGCCTTTTTTAAAGTCAATGCTACGTCTGTTATACGTACACTAAATGGGATGTCTACTTACAGTAGCCAAAGTAAATAGTCTGGTTCACGTAAATGGAGTATCCAAAATCAATATAGTTCATTATCCTAATTGGTTATTCATTTTATAGCAATAATGCTCAACAGTATCAATCCATTGTTCTTCCCTTTTGTTCTCTATTTGTTATGTGCTAGTTTAGATGATTCATTGATAAAAATACGTCTCGACTTTTGTTTAACTTTTAAATCTTTTAAATTCTTTAATGGCAACCAATTAACCCATAAGGTCCATGTTAAACTTTTACAAGTTTAAATTCGTGTATGGTAATGCCCTGTTGCCCGATTTGGTACATACATGTAGAATTTAATGGAGTAGGTTTATAAACCATCAATTTCGTGATAACTTTCAGGGCTTAGCCCTGGGACCGTCTTAAATGTACTCATGTCGTTCAGAATCGTGAGGGAATCTGGAACATTTATTGTGTGGGTTGGATTGCGGTGTTTGTCTATAAACAAACAATTTTTCAAATCGTCAATCAGCTGCAACTTACATTAAGCAAAATGCCTAAATATGGTGGGGGAACTTCCCCTCAAACCACCTAAATTTTGTAAATTGACTATATTTGAGTCATAAAACCAAAACTGATTGCATACAGATACACATTTTACTAAGCATAATCTTCCCCTACTAGTAATCCTCTTACTTGTCCTCAGGGTGTATTCATCTTCATCATTTTCGTCTGTAAGCACAAGACACTGAAGCTTCTCAACCAAAAGTTGTTTCCACGATGGGAGATCATCCAAAATTCAACTTCTTCAAGAACAAACAATACATCCTCAAATCAATCCAGAACTACATCTTGCTCAAGATCTACCTATCATAGACAAGGCACAGTAGTTCTCCAACCTCTAATTGATGACAAAGAAGATGCAAACTAGACAATTAATAGTTGGGAAGATGAAAAGCACCTGTATATTAATAAAGTTCAAAGGAATAACATTTATTTATACCTCCTTATATCCTGGACACATTCAAGAAGCATTTGTTCGTTTTACACTGTTGGATTTATAGTAGTTTGTAATAATGCAATAGTATTAATATTGGGATTTCGCATACGGTAATAGTTTTATGCCAATTAAAACCACCAGATGTAATTAGTTTACTTGGACTGCATCAGTACTTCGTGATTAAGTTTTGTTGGGAGAGGACTAAATAAAATACTCAGTATTTGATCGGAACTATTTTCTCCTATATCGAGGATTCTTCAGTGTAATCTTAGCTCAATAGTTACAGCTGAGGTATTTTTTCCTTTGTACTGTACTTTGTAATTTGATATAGTATACAGTCGACGGCTTGTTATAAACACAATAAGTTACAAGTATTTTGTTTACTTATTACTCGTTATTTTGTTCAACCATCATAGTTACTTGGCAACCCATATGGGCAGTATTAACTTTCTTAATTTTCAAATGAGTTGTGTGGAGAAATGCGAATTTTCCTGAAGTAGTGACTGTCACCAATCACGTTTTTAGGGCTACAAGCGCTACAAATCCCCAATTCCAAAATGTAGTCATAATCCTTCCGCTGGATTTCGATATATGTATTACAGACAAGGAGACAAACAGACAGACAAACAAACAGATATAGCTTGTATTCGAGTATAGGATATAAGTCTGCATGATAAAATATCTTCATATGTGCATCAGCACATCAGTACCACTTTTATACCATCCTAGGTAGCCTAAATAAGTGTTCACTACTTGAGTTTACAAAACAATACGTTTATCAAGATAGGTGGTACAGTTGAAATTCATTTCTAAATTTAGTGGAGGATGTGAAACCACTTTTATGGCATTTTCAAAGAACCAACATTGTTTCTTCCGGATCATGACTCCTGACCTTGTTACTAGGCACGGGTGAAGCAGCTAGCATATATACATATATATTTTTATATATATTTGTGTGTGTGAATTTGGAGTGCAGGGCTGAGTGCCGTTTGCCTAAACACTTTGACGAGGGTCATTTTGCAGCCTGATGCTTGGCGGGGCGAGTGCCGGCACAGAAAACGTACTACTATAACCCAGAATGCCAACCGCATGGTATAGCAACGCTGGTGGCGCTGCCTATGGATTGACAGGCAAAGCTCTCTCAAAACACTTAATGCTTTTTACCATGCGGTTGGCATTCTGGGTTATAGTAGTACGTTTTCTGTGGTGCCGGCCAGGTATCAGTGACCGGCCACATACAGATTGGCCAATGGTTTAAGGGTCGTTTCTAACATACAGATTGACCAAAGGGCCTAATGAACAGGGACAAAAAATGGGGGAGGAGCTTACAGCAGCGATGTCCCGTGTGGGGGAGGAGCTTGTCCATTCAAGCACAGTATGTTTTCTGTGATTCAAGTCAAGTATTGGTTAACTTTTTATAATCTTACCAGTCACAGAGGTGGCCAAACTCAAGAGACGAATTTTACTTTTCAAAACACTAAGTTTTATGTAAGCTGTTAAGTAAACAAATAAGGTTTTTACATTAAACTGTAGCTTAAACTAAACAGTGCGGTATTCAAATGCAAATAATAGGCTATAAAATCTAACTAATTGCTTATAAACTCAATATCAATTTCTTTTCAAGTACACAAAGTACTTTTTTTAGATCATTTTACACTCACCTGCAGCTCGAGCGTAAACATTGCTCTCGTGTGCAGCAAAGTGCCACTATGCTCACTTGTTACACAAATAACAATTTCGTAGGCATATTGGATCTAATTTAAAGCTCTTATCCTCTAGATGTGCCTTTTGCGAGTTTGTATAATATCGCATGAAAGCATATAAGCTCGTCATATTAGCTTTTAAAATTGCATAGTTTGTGCTGAATTCTGTTGTCAATCATCTGAACTTTTACAAGTTTACAATAAAATTTTGTTTACATCAAAACATATGTCCATAGTACAATTTTGTTTACATCCATACGAAAGTGGTGTTATCTGTAAGTCGGTGATGTTTAAGTTAAATCAAGAAAATGTTGTATTATTTTGTATGAAATGTAAAGAAGAAAATGGTTTACGTTAGATTTTGTGTTATCATAGTATGTGTCATTAGTATTATTAATCTTTCTAAGTTACCACTGTAGACGTCGGTGTTTTGGATTTTCTACATTTTGGTAATGACCTTTAATGCTGCATCCTCTGCATATAGCTTCTTTAGCTGGACAAGCAGCTCTGTTGTGTTTCTTAAAGCCACAGAAGTAACATGTCTGATTGAGTGAACATGCGATATTTTCTTGAGATAGATATGATTCTGGTTCGGCAGCAGAAGGTCTTGGATCAGGATTGGACAAGTATGGATTCTTTTCACTTAAATGTTTTGAAGCTGCAGCGTTAGTTATTGGTAAGCAATTCTCTAAGTTTTACTGTTCAGAGTGATATTTAGTAAGTTCGAGTGATCTGGCTTGAGAAACTGCTTCATCCAAAGTCAAAGTAGAGCTTTCCAACAACCGTTGACAAATATGAGGCATGAGCAAGCCATCAATAATTGTGTCTCTGATGTATTCATCTCTACTAGATACAGCATTGACAGCTTTAAAGTTACAATCCTAGGAAAGGCGATTCAGAGATTCCATGTAGGTAAGTATCTATGCTCTCCCCAGGCTCTTGTCTTCTGATTTTAAGTTTATGACGTGTGTAAATTTCATCAACAGGTTTCAAGTACAACTTTTTCAACACATTAAAATTGCTTGTTTGTTGAGCGGAGCGAGCGAAGCTCTTATACGTCGACTCTTATGCATTTCGTAATACGCAAACTCCTCCTAGACGGCTGAATCAATCGTTTTCAAATTTTGCATGGTGATAAAGACCATATCGGTGAGTGCCAACATCTATATGGCGTTGAAAAAGTCTTTCAGGAATCCGCCCCACTGGGTCTCAAAGTTTCAATGTAATCCTTATGGAATCAGTATTTGACACATAAACAAAGACATATGATCAGCTGTTGACGTTTGAATGCAGTACATAAAGAAATAGCTGATAGCATTATTCCACAGATATTAGAACAGAAACGGAATGACGACACTAGCTTGAGGTCCGTGACGTAGGAAGTAATGAAGGAAGTAGTAAAGGTGAGCAGTCTGGAGTGTGGAAACTGTTTATGACGATTAGATTTAGGTATCTGCATTCCCAAAATTCTATAGGAAGGGAAGAAAACGGGTCCGTGACGTAGGAAGTGGTGAAGGAAGTAGTCAAGGCGAGCTGTCCAGCGTTTGGGAACTGTTTATGACGATTAGATTAAGGTATCTGCAATCCTAATATGCTATGGGAAGGGAGGGAAACAGGTCCGCGACGTAGGAAGTGGTGAAGGAAGTAGTAAATGTGAGCAGTCCGGAGTGTGGAAACTGTTTATGACGATTAGATTAAGGTATCTGCAATCCTAATATACTATGGGAAGAGAGGGAAACAGGTCCGTGACGTATGAAGTGGTGAAGGAAGTAGAAAAGGTGAGCAGTCCGGAGTGTAGGAACTATTTATGACTATTAGATTTAGGTATATGAATTCCTAAAATTCTATGGGAAGAGAGGGAAACGGGTCCGCGACATAGGAAGTGGTGAAGGAAGTAGTCAAGGCGAGCTTCCTGGAGTATGGGAACTGTTTATGACGATTAGATTAAGGTATCTGCATTCCTAAAATTCTATTGGAAGGGAGGAAAACGGGTCTGCGATGTAGGAAATGGTAAAGGAATTAGTCAAGGCGAGCTGTCCGGAGTGTGGAAACGGTTTATGACTATTATATTTAGGTATATAGAATGCCATGGAAATGGAGGGAAACAGGCCCGTGACGTAGGAAGTGGTGAAGGAAGTAGTAAAGGCGAGTTATCTGGAGTGTGGGGTCTGTTTATGACCAATAGATTGAGGTATTTATAATCCAATAATGCTAATGGAAGGGATGGAAACAGGTCCGAGACGTAGGAAGTGGCGAAGGAAGTAGTAAAGGCGAGTTGTTCGGAGTATGGGATTTGTTTATGACCAATAGAAAGGTATTTGCAATCCAATAATGCTAATGGAAGGGAGGGAAACAGGTCCGAGACGTAGGAAGTGGTGAAGGAAATAGTAAAGTATGAGCATAGTGTGAGAACCGTCTGTGTCAGTTAAATTTATGTATCTTCAACCTGAAAATGCTATGAGAAGGGAAGGAAACAGGCCCCACGACGTGGGAAGTGGTGAAGGAAGTAGTAAAGGCTGGCAGTGCAGAGTCTGGGAACCGTTTGGGCAGTTAGATAAATGTATCTAAACTACTTAAATGCTATGAGATGGGAAGGAAACAGGTCTATGACGTAGTTAAATGGTGAAGGAAGTAGTAAGGCTTGCAGTGCAGAGTGTGGGAAATGTCTTTGGCAATTACATTAATGTATCTGCAATCCTAAAATGCTATGGAAAGAGAGGGAAACAGATCCACGACGTAGGGGGTGGTGAAGGAAGTAGTAAAGGTGAGCAGTGTTGAGTGTGGGAATAGATTAATGTATCTACAATGCTGAAATGCTATAGGAAGAGACTGTAGACTGTAGGTTAAAATGATTACGAAGCACGAATCGATACATATTTCGATACATGCAATCGTTTACAATAGAAATTTACAACTGAGTTCTCAACAGCCGATTTTTACTCAATAGAGGCAAAAAACGATTTTTACTCCCTAAAGTGTAAAAATGCTACTTTAGACCCGCAACGCACGCATTAAAACAACTGTTTTCACTGCAGTATGACAAAAACAATATAATGTGAACCCTTGATGACTCCGCTCAATTTTGTGGATGCCTCTGCGAACGCCACCTAGTATAGATATGATGAGACATCATGTTTTCACCTTTATCAACTACAATTTATCATAATACTAATATTGTGAAATTTTGTGAGTTTGTTTATTTGTTTGTTTGTTTGTTTGTTTTGTTTGATATCCAATCACACATTAACTACTGGTCGGATCGGGTTGAAATTTTGTAAGAAGATAGCTCACATTCCCGATTAACATATCTAGACATATTCTTATCCCAAAAATCATTTCGGGCTCTGCCCCAATAGCTCCTTAGTTTCCCATGTTAACCTTATGAGTATTCATATGTAAAATGAATTAAAGAATTTTGTCAGCTGTTTCAACTACACAAGTTGTTGGTTCTATGATATTCAATAGCATTAAAGAGGCTACCTCTGTGTCTGGTAAGATTAGAACACGTTAACAAAAACTGTACTTAAATAGACTAGTAGTACGCTTATTCTGCGCGTAACGGGATGAGTGAACGTGAGCGCAACAGTTGAAGAGTCCACCCACACCTAGCCTACTTACCGGTGTCACTGGTGAACACAATCAACCAAATCTCAGTCAACAACAATCCTAACTTCTCGTCCAAAGTCTTAACCAAAGTCATTGGTAATATATGTAATGGATTTCCGACAGTTATCGATAGGAGGTAAATCCATCGTTCCTGTACAAAACGTCTTTTGATTAAATAAGGCCTATTTCCTTATTTGTTATGAGGCCTATCATAACAAAACAAAACTAAGCCAAACTGACCTAATCTAACTTAACCTAATTGCCACAGCTTGGTGTAAAGGAGTCTTCTTCAAAATATCGTATGGCTTATAATGATGTTATGTAACACATACGAACGATAGCACTATTATTACCTAAATACCCCCGCCGCAGCAAACCTGCCGACTAAGCGAATTTCCATTTGTCTGAATTGATTTTCAGTTAAATATATTTTAATAACATTAGGTTTAACGAGTACCTAGGTTTGCTGCTACAAGGAAACTAATAAAGTGTGTTTTTGAGTAAAATATTGATAGCTTAGTACAAAATAAATAAATTTGCCAAGTTTGATCAAAATATATTCATAAACAAGCAAACTACAACATTTGACAATATTCTCCATAAGAATAACATGGGAATTTAAAATTTAAAATTTTTTTAATTTTCTCCGTTACTAATAATTGAACAAAAATACTTTTATATACTAAATTATTTGTTTTTTAAGCTCTTTAAAAAGGCCTAAAGAAAATTGGGAAATTTTGTGTTTTGAGGGTCAAAAGTGAGAAAAACCAATTTTTACCCCATAAAACCCCCCGTAAAGCCCCGTTCCCATGGTCCGATCGTGCTGGTTCGCGAACTCATTCAAGTTTATCCCGCTTTACACCTCCAAATTTCATCAAAATCGGACAAAAATTACTCAAGTTATCGCGTTCACGGACGTATATATATATATATTTATATATATGTCTATATATATATATATACATATATAAAAATTTGAACGAATAGTGTTTTTGGCCTCTGGGGACATCAAAATGAAAAAGTAAATCGGTCCCGGGTCTAGGTCTTACCGTGCCACCTACGGTAATAGCTACTTCCCTATAGGGAAATTCGCTAAAATGATTAAAAATCCAATATATGTTTATCTAACCAATGAATCTAAATGCCATACACGGTTCCCACACTCCGCACTGCTTGCCTTTACAACTTATATCGCCTCTACCTACGTCGTGGACGTGTTTACCTCCCATTCCTCAGCATTTTAGTATTGCATGTACATTACTCTAACTGCCTTAAACAGTTCCCACACTCAAAACTTCTCGCCTTTACCACTTCCTTCCCCACTTCCTACGATGTGCACCTGTTTTCCTCCCTTCCCATAGCCTTTTAGTATTGCTGATTATTGTATTAATCTAACTGCCACCAATGGTTCCCACACTCCGCACTGCTCGCCTTGACTACTCCCTTCACCACTTCCTTCATCGTGGACCTGTTTCCCTCCCTTCCCATAGCCTTTTAGTATTGCTGATTATTGTATTAATCTAACTGCCACCAATGGTTCTTGTTCTTACACTCCACACTGCTCGATTTGACTACTTCCTTCACCACTTCCTACGTCGTAGACCGGTTTCTCTCCCTTCCCATAGCATTTTAGTATCGCAGATATAATATTCTAACTGTCAAAAAGGCTTCCCACACTCCGGACCCCTCGCCTTGACTACTTCCTTTATCACTCCCTTCGTCGTGGACCTGTTTCCCTCCCTTCCCATGGCATTTTAGTTTTGCAGGTACATTCATCCAACTGTCACAAATGCTGCCCACACTCCGGACCGCTCGCCTCTTGACTACTTCCTTCTCTACTTCCTACATCGTAGACCTGTTTCCCTCTCTTCCCATTGTATTTAATTATTACAGATCATTAATTTAACTGTCACAAAGGGTGTCCACACTCTGCACTGCTCACCTTTACCACTTCCTTTATCACTCCCTACGTCGTGGGCCTGTTTCCCTCCTTTCGCATAGCGTTTTAGTATAAAAATTGACGAATATCATAGCTAAAGCATAGTATAGATTTCCCATCCTTATGGAACAGCTGAACATAATTGTATTATTAGTTCCCTCCGGTTTTCTATAGATGTAGTTTTTTGTTTTAATTAGTTTCTTGTTATTCCAGTAACTTAAAACCTCGTTTGAACAAATAAAACGATCTAATTATAAACAATAACTCGTCCAAAACACCAAACAGTGATATAACCAAACAGTGAGACACAAATAATGAAAAACTAACCCTAAAAAAATATAAACAAATTGTAAAGAAAACACGACATCTACAGACAACCGGACAGAACTAACAATTAAATAGGCTTCAGCTGTTCTATAAGGATGGGAAATCTAATGCTAATATCTTTGACTATTTAATAGTCAATGCCAGCATTAAATTGAATAATGTAAAAAGCTGCTTATTTCTAAATATATACATATATATTTGTCATGTTAAGGCGAATTTTAATACTGAACATAAACTGTATATAACTGCCGACTAATATTGTAAAGTTCAATTTATTATTCTGAAAGTTGTGAAATTCTAATGATATATATTCATAGGCGCCATAACTGTGTCCATGAATGAAAGAGCTAAGAGTAAACAGACAGAGTAGTTCTCTCTGTCTTAAGCAGACAACAAAATTGTTTTTCGTAAAATGTAAACAAATAAAAAGAAGAAGAAGGTAGCTCCTAATGTTATTCTTATGGGACAAATTTAAACATGTTTTTTAAGTATTTTATAATTACTACAGAGCGGAATCGTCTAGAATTTTAATGAGGTCTTCCCACTGGTGTCATAATTATTTGTGCAAAATTTGAACGCTATAAGTACGACGGTTCTTGAGTTTTTGGTGCGAACACACAGACACACACGGACAAGCGGACAACACGATACATAGATTCGTTCACTTCGTTCACTCATCTACAAGCCCCTCCCCCACACGGGACATCCCATTTTTTGTCACTGCTCATTAGGACCTTTGGTCAATCTGTATGATAGAAAAGACCCTCGAACCATTGGCCAATCTGTGCGCACGCCTGACCGGTGTCACGGTGCGGCGGGTATGGTATGGGGATGGAAAGATCGGCCAGGGGAGTGAGCAACATTTGTTTTAGGGATACAAGGAAACTGTTATAACCTAACCTAACCAAACTTGCTGAATATGAAAAATTGAATTACGGTTTACTAATCGAATTGATATTAATTTTCAATCGATATTAGGATAGCCCAGTTAAGAAACTGTACCCGGTCTGCGTTACATCCTGCCCACTACACACCCTTCAACTAATCCCTCTCCCTAAATCCTTCACAAAACCCTTCCCATGAATCACTCTTACGCACTGGGGAATCAAACGGCACTCGGGCCTATCTGACGGTTTTGACAGTTTATAACCCAAACACAATATCGAAACCCCACGGCAAAGAATAGAACGGTACTCGCTCCGTTTCCCGTGAATTTGAACGGTTGGTGTTTTTGGTCTCTGGATGCCTCAAACGAAAACGTAAATTGGTTCCATGTATTAACATGAGACCTACGGTAATATCCTATTCCTTGGATGGGTAATTCCCTAAAAATAAAGGTAGAGAAAAAGGAGATGGAAAGACTGATGAAGTTGACTTGTAACGGCGAGATGAAAACAGATTAGATAATAATGTGGTTTGTGTACCGTATTGATAATTAAATGTTGGTACCTCTGGTGGATAGGTTCATCCGGGTGGGTCCCACTTCTATACCTGCCTCCTTTTGGGAAACCCTGATGGCCTGGCAGTGATGTTGGGTCTGACGGGCAAACGAAGTAGATCGGGTGCTGGGTCCGAGCCCGCCAGGGGTATCTGGGGATCTATCGCTCTGGTTATCTCTGGTTTCCCAGCAATGGGTAAGGCCTCGATCGGGCAGCGGTGTAAATGGGAGGTTGGGGTTCCCCCCGTCAGCGTGCTGATGGTCCCCTTCCTCCTGGCTATTGATGGCGGGTTCTGCCTGTCAGGGATTAGATAGGTCCCGAGTGTTGCTTGCACTAAATGCGTCGGGGCGCTCTACTATGGACCTCTAGGTTCCGACCTGGTGGAACTCAGGTGGAGTGACGCTTAAACAAGCAGCCGGAATCCCTGGTTAGGATTGAGGGGCAACCCTCTTTCCGAAGGGTCTGCTTCGGCAGCCGGCGAGCCTGATGACCTTAAGTCATCCGCCCATGATGTGCTAAAGGTTGATGCGTAAGCTTCGGCCTACATCATGGGGCCCGGGTATGTCCTGAAGGATAGGTACCGGGTAAGCAGTCAGGGGGCTTCGGCTTTCATGACAACAAATGTAATGTGATTTTATATTTAGTTTTATTTTTATTTTTGTACCTATTTTAATCCGTGTGTATGTGCAATGAACTGTGATATGGCAAGGATTGTGTTCTCCTGATTTCAATAAGGTGAGTGATGCCCAATAGCTATTTACATTACAAGTGTAGTAAGAGCGTTTTTACATCACGCAGGTGAATGTTGTGCAACGAGCGAAGGCGAGTTGCATAATTCACCGAAGTGATGTAAACACGCTCTTGCGTAACGTGTAACGTACAAGATTTTACCTGACCCGACAATATTCAGGAGGCTACGAGCAATATGCTTCATTATCAATTTCACTCATCTTCTAACAGTAACGTTAATTTTTAAACAAAAGCTAGGTTAGGAAAATTCTTCAAAGAATAACAATAAAATTCAAACACACGGCTGATTTCTAGCGTTGAACGTCGTTGGCTCCATAGAGGTATACGTTACACGTTACGCAAGAGCGTGTTTACATCACTTAGGTAAATTATGCAACGAGCGGAAGCGAGTTGCACAACCTTCACCTGCGTGATGTAAAAACGCTCTTACTACACTTGTATGGTAAATAGCTATTACCATACTTTATGTTTTCTTTGCGTGTTGTGATCTATAATTGATCATAGGTCTTTAAATAAATTATCCTGGCTAATGAATAACTGGTTTGGTTAACAAAGCTACACAGATCCTCTCACACCATCAACCTTCACTCATATTTGGGTTAATATACGCACCTAGGTGGCGTCCCCATCTCAATTATAATTAATCATTAATTATTACTCTTAAAAAACTTTTAATAGAGGATTATTTGTTTACATCTTTGATTGCTCGGCTCAATTGGTGGACCTGAGACCGCATACCTTATTAATTTTACCAAATATGTGTTACTTAATCCAAGTACATCCAAGTTTTACATGTACGTAAGTAGTGATTTAATTTACAACTTATACATTGGTAAAAGGTTGTTAAATATATTTCGAGGAAATTACGTATTCGTGTAGCTTACTAACGAATATTAAGTTAACTTTCCTCTAAAAACAGTGGACAGCCAAGACTCTGCAAAACACCAGTTTTTAGTCTCTCTCTTCAACAATGCAACTTTAGTGCCTTTTTTAGGGAGGGAGGACAACCCTCAGGTGAGTTGGCGCATGCGCTCTGTTTCAGTCCAGTCCAGTCTCAGTCTGTCGCGTCGCTTCGCTTTGTCAGTTGCTTACTAACTACTCGTGGGTCTGTGAGTCGTGTTTCCTACACGAGGTGGTATTTTTAGGTTCTAGACTCCAGTCAGCCGGCGCCAGCGAGAGAGTGGCGTCATAGGGCATCCATGGCCCCCACATTAGGCGGGACTCCTGCGGAACCCATGAGACAACGGAAACTGAATAGGATTTACAAGATCTCGGGATGTGTCGTCGTCGTGATAGTTGTGATGATCGCAGTGCCTGTGTATTATCACATGAGAGATACGCCACCAGTCACTTACCCTTGCCACATAGACCTCAGTGTTCCGCTGCTCAGTCCACAGTTCTACAGTAACGGGTCGGTGGTGGACCACGGAGACGTTTATCCCACAGGGTTTTACTTTACCGTCAACGGAACTACTCGGGGATGTCTCTGCGCGTTGAATCCTTGCATCAGAAAATGCTGCGCCAAAGACGAGTACTACAAGAGGAAAGTGGGTTGCAAGAAGAACACAAAACCTTCTCCCTTCGACAAATTCAGACTTCCGGTCTACCAGAGCCCTTGGAACATTACGGATGTGGCTAAAAACCATTTCCGGATCTTGTATGGGGATGTGTGTAAAGTGAAATTCATAACACAGGCCCATCTTCCCCAGCCTCAGTTAATGACAAATGGAAGCATATACAGAATCCTAAGTGAAAACGAATCAGTTTATGTAAACACTTCCCAATATTGTCTAGACTCATTGGACGCGAGAGACGAGATCACTATTATGTTTTGTGCGGCAACAGTCCGTGTGTCTCTAGAAACTGAAGATTCAGTTGAGTATATAATGTACTCGATGTACACTGTTGGCACGATCATATCCACCTTCTTCCTATTGGCTACCTTCCTGGTCTACTACATTCTGCCTGAACTGCACAACAACCTACACGGACTATCCCTCATGTGCCACACGGCGGCTCTCCTCACTGGTTATTCGTTCCACGCAGCCATTAAGATATTTCAAGAGGACTTAAGCTCGGACCTCTGTATTCTTTTTGGTAAGCTGTATAGATTGTATTACTGTAAAACCTTTATTCATCTACTTAGTCCACAAATATATGCTTTCCAGTCACTCAAAAACCCTTTTTGTTAATATATCTATTTACATTCTTAATACTATGAGAAGTATCCGCGTACCGAAACATAACTTTTCCAGCCATCCTACTTGACCAATTTTTACGATTAATGTGCCATTTTAAAGCTTATGACCTAGCGCACCTGTCGTTGTTATTTACGAATCTAATTTCCTTTAGTGTTTTGCCCCCCTAACACTTAATTTATTTCTAGAGTCCATTTTCAAAGATCCAGTTATTCTGACCAACCTTCTTTATATGGTAACTGTTTAAATGGGATTGTAATTTCAACTTTGTCACCCGACAAAGTTGGCTTCCTTGTACAGGCTTCCTTGTTTGCTTATAGTACAGAAAGCTGCTAATTGCTGCATATTTATACTTTGTCGTACGGTTTATACTTTGTCGTTCGGTTTATACTTTGTCGTACGGTTTATACTTTGGCGCACATCAGGATTCCAACGAAACAACACAAACCTGCGTGGTTCGATTATGCACGTAAACCGTGTACGCTTGGAAATAGGTTGGCAACACTTAAAGATAATAATACTATGAGCAGCTGACGGCATTTCCATTCATACTTGGCTTAAAATTCCTACCTTCGTATGGTCGCCGTAAGATAAAAGTATTGAAGGAAATAGGCTTTAAAATTTTAACGTTTATTTTGTATTTTAACAGTGTAATTGCACATGCCACACAGATTAGAAGCTATAAACTTGTCAGCTTAAAATCAAATGAAGATACAGAAGACAGGACAGAAAGGTTAACCTTGGGGATTCAAATGGGCTGACTTTCGTATTTCTTGTTAAAAATTCGTACGCAGAGCTGATGCATCTTGGCAGGAGTGAAGTATAGAAAATTCTTAATTAGGTCAGACGATTATATAACCTGACAGCTTTAAGGTAAATGCCCTTTTATCAGTATATAACCTCCGCATCTATGTGGAGGATGACGTAAACGTGATCTACTACTACCCAAAAATAAAATAGAAGCGGTTGAGTTTTCATGGGAATTATCAAGACACGTTCTCTGGGCGTGCGTTCTAAAAATAGTTACATCGTTAGAAACTTTGTTGTTGTTTTGCTCTTGATATTGAGCTGTGAGTTCGATTCATGAGGGATATACAGGATGTTCGAAAAGGGTGGGGATATATTTTAACTAGTGATTCATTGGGTCAAAATAAAGAGAAAATCAAGAAATTTAAAATACCAATAGCGTTTACAATTGAAAAAGAAAACTTAACCTGATCCACGAATTAATTCAGGAAATGGCGTATCCGAGGATAGATAAATTAAGCAGCTGGGTTTTCTGAATTAGGAAGTGGCAATGTTAAAAAAACTAATTTTCACCACACTATGATGTTTTTAGCTGTTTTACATACGTTAATTAATGGCTGAAAGTTACGTTATGCTGGCCATGCCAGCTGTCATATAGTCATTTGGGGACCGAGCAGGTTTTTACATCCTTAGGGCCGCAAAACCAGCTGCCGCTTACTTTCATAAAACATGAATGTATATATACAATCAGTATCCATAGCATTGCAAATTGCAATAGAATTGTTTTATTGTCACCGCTGCCTAGCAACGGTTTGTTATTATTTTTTGCTTATTACTCAAATTATTTCTTCCCATAACCTTAAAGTTGTACTTGCGTTGACAGAGTGCATTATTATTGTGGTGAATAGTGGTAATTATGTTAAAGTGTGGTTAAAAATAGCGTTCGTACCACGGACCGAAAAGGTTTTGCAGCTCTCGATCGTTTTAAGTTCTAGACTTCACCTTGAACTTAAAAACCATCTCGAGCTCTCATTTTCGGTCCTAGGTACGAAATATACTATTACAAACACTTTTTTTTTATATTGAGTTAGCCTATAAGGGCCAAATGAAAAAAAAAACATACACTGTGCACGACTAGGAGCGTGACTACATCGTGTAAGTTGATATGTACGGGCACGGATATACGAACAGAAAATGTATGGACCATAAACATAAACATATTGTGTAACGGGCGAAAATGTAAAGAAAAGATTGTAGCGGGTGGTACGGTTTACATTGTGACTGTCAAATACATACAGTATTCATTTTACCATATTTTGTTAGGGTTTTTAGCCACTGGTGTAATTTCTTGATGTTTACGATTCTTCCGTTTAAGTTCTAATATCCAAGTGTGAAGGTAAGTTTAAAAAACAAAAACCCCTCTATGTTTATTTGCATATGTATGGTGTGTATATGTTTAGGGCAGAGTAACCGTCCTTCGTACGGGGTTGGCATAAGTAAAATGCTTTTTGCAGTTATACTCAAGCAATGAGGAAGGACACAGTTTGTTAAAATTTGCTTATTTAAATTTACAGTATTCTATAGTACTACACGTCTACCATATTGTTCTACCACTTCAACTAAGATAGAGAAAAATAAATGATCAAAAATTCGCAAAATATCACAAATTATTCATGAAATTAAAAACATAAACCTAACTGTAAACAATCTTACTTTGACAATTAGTTCTCATTGTGTACCACAGTTCTTTGTTGCTCCTTAGTTCAAATTAGCAGTTTTCATAAATGCAAACAAATATAGTGCTGCACCCTGTTGGTAAATCTTATAACTTTTTAATGCTTTTGCGTATCATAGAACCAACTTTTTTATTTGAAACAGCTGACTAAATCCTTTAATTCCCTTTAAATATGAATACTCATAAGGATAACATGTGGAACTACAGAGCCACTGGGGCGGAGCCCGAAAGGATTTTTGAGATAAAGAGTACGTCTATGTATTAATCGGGAATGTGAACTATCATCATGCCAAATTTCAACCCAATCCGTCCAGTAGTTAATGCATGATTGAACTTCAAACAAACAAACAAACAAACACACAAACTTTCACATTTATAATATTAGTAAGATATAATGCGTAAATATGTTCTGTAATTGTTAACAAACCTTAGGCTACATATATAGTTTATGGTTATAATTTTTGTTTAATTCCCCCAGTCCCATAGCGTCTACCTAGCCATGTTTATGGAGATTTCATAATTGGGTACCGCACTGTTCTATTACCCCGACCACACAATGTTAGGTAACCAAACATTTAAAATTAAATTTCTGTTAATGTATGGTTCTATAACCTAGCCTAACCTGTTGTGGTGGATACAAAAAGAGTAGGCCAATCCATGATGGGTCGGGCGAGGAGGAGGGGACCTTTTCCTATCAACATATTCAATGAAAGTGACGGTTTCATAATTTCAAAAGTACCGAAAATATCATGGCGATTTCACTGCACAACAGTATTGGGTGGTTTTTAATGACAGTACAGTATATGGGTTATGGCTATTTTTAAATTGAAAAACAGGCAACCAGGCAATAGGTTGGTCTTCAATTCTAGTTTTACTTTTGATGTAGACAGTAACCAACCAATAAAATACAGTGCACCCTAATAAACCCTCGATAACAAACAAGTGGCCATTGATAATAGTGTAATTTAAAATATCTTTGAATTTGCATCAAACCTTGATAATGAGTCTATTTGAGAATCCCAATGGGAGAGTTGCTATTAAGTTTCAACTGGAAATAGCATCTGGAGATAGAGATAGATTTCATGTCAAGGAGGTAAATATGTATTTAGGTAAATGACGTCAGCGTTAACAAGTGAATGTTGAGAGAATTCAAAGTTCTAGTAATTTTAGCGTTATTGATATGCATTGAGCTTTGTAAACCAAGACCGACTGTCGAAAAGGGGCTTTATTTGTTTATTTACACAGAAAGAACCTTATAATCGTAAATCAACCAGAAATGCTATACTTTGTTTGCCTGACGAAATACTTTGTAAAATCAATTTACAAACTAGGCATTTAGCTTAGTTTTTGGTTGTTTTATTTTTTTTATGATGAATGTTATCATGAGTTAAGTTTTTGTTTCAGCGTTCACTGCCCAGTTTTCATTATTGGCGACCTTCTTCTGGATGAACGTAATGTGTATAGACATTTGGCTGGTCATAAGGTAAGTTTTATGTAGATAATTTAAAACTTGACTTAACATTGTAGTAATACTATAATACTATAATATAATATTATATGTAGTAATACTTGTAGTAATAGTTGTTGGTGGGCCTACAGTGGTCCTTTTTTACAAGATTATTTTTATTTTTAACAGGTTTTTGTAATGAATTGAAATTCTATGAATAGTTGAATAACGCAACGACCTATTTTAAGACAAAAAAAATAATTTTTTTTATCACGTGGGGTTTCATAATGGCGAACATTAAAAGTCTTTGAACTGAAATAACATAAAAAACTACGAAGGTAAAAAAAAATGTGGTAATGTTTTATTTAGAAAATTTTCTTACAATTCTAATGATACCACGTTTAAGAAAATCGGTTCATAAACTAAGGGAGATAACTAATTTTTTAGATACTGTATACATCAATGTTGAACTGAAGTGTTGTTATTTTATAAAGGTTACGGAGGAAATTCCAAAAAAAACACCTTTGGATTTATTCAAAATTCCACTGTTAACTCTTACAGAGGGAAAGAAAACTGTAGAAGTTTGCTTGTTTATGGATATATGTTGATCGAGTTTGGTAAATTTCTTTATTTCATCCTTAAACTCTTAACATTTGTAAAAGAAAAAAAATACTTTTCAACTTGCATGTAGCAGCAAGTCTAATTTGGGTTTTAATCCAATGAATAATTATTAAAACGGTGAATATTAATGTCTTGTAAATGTTTTAGTAAAAATATAATCAGACAAACTGAAATTCACTTAGTCTCTAGGTTTGCTGCGGCGTTGGTATTCGTAGCATGTTTGCTAGTTGTATGGCTATTGAGCTACTAACAAACTTTGACATTGACTGTATGTTGCCAGTAAAGTCAGGCCAGCGCAGAGCAGGAATTACAATAAGAAGTTTCTGTACTACTCTCTATATGCTTGGGGAGTGCCTATGTTCATTGTGGGAGTCTCCATAGCCATGGACATGATACCTGGAGTGCCTGACACTTGGATCAAGCCTCAGTTTGGGAAGAAGAAATGCTGGTTTGCAGGTCAGCTTTTATTTAATCTATTGACAGTGAATACAGTAACAGATTGAAATGATCATAAGAGGCCTATCAATTATTTCTAGCCCTCATAATAATCTTTTTAGCTTATAATCATAAACAGATGTGTAGCTTACATGGGCGTACCCAGAGAGGGGCAGGGGAGGCAGCAGGTACCTATTTCCTCTATGTTTCAGTAAGAAATTATTCCCGATTCGGAATTCGTCCAGGAAATAATTATGAAACTTGGCTTTAAGTACAAAAGAGACGCATTTCCTCAGAGAGCCAAGCCGCCTTTAAAACCTTTAACTCATATGAGTTTAGGTCAAGATTAGTTTGGGAATGCTTTGAAGAAACCTGCAGGTGAAGGGAGATCAACACAAGTAGTACTCTCTGCTGTGCTTGGTTGTAACAAAAAAGCCAACTGCTGTGTGCAAATCTCAAAGGACCCAAACTATACTGTGGCATCTCCAAGAAAACAGCACTGCAAGCTTAAATCAACTCTTGAGACATTATGAGCACGAGAAGAAATGGACGGATTAGCAAAATTAAAATTACACTTAACTCTCCCTTAGTACAAACTCCTGAGGAACCCCTTCCACAGGACACTGCTACCATAGAAAGCAGAGTCCGTAAGGGCTGCCCTTTCTTACATTGACAAAGGACATACAATTCCTCGGGAAGCTCTAATGAAGGGGGTCTTCTAGTTTGTGAGTCAGTGGCTCAGTCGGTGCCACAGACTTCAGTCCCAAGGCAGTGGATTTCTTGGGATTGGATACTGGTACCTTATACTACTTTTTATCAGTACACTACAATTCACCCTTGTACTGCACCGGCTCATCCCTTGCTTTGATGGATACGTTTCACACACAGGTCCGTAGCCTATGCAGACGGACAAATGCAAGATTAATAGTTATTTGTGCAACTAGTGAGAAAAGTGAGCAATTGACTCACTCGAGAGAAATCCTTACTCACGAGCCGTAGGCGAGTGAGGAATGGTTTCTCGAGTGAGGCAATTGTACTTTGAACTCGAGTTGCACATTATACTTTTCCTACAGTTACCATAAAACAAATAAATTGGTGAAGAAACATAACCTATTTTTACACAGAAGTGAACTTTTAATATAACATTTAATGTGAAGTGACAAATACAACAGTACAACAGCTGACCAGCTGATTAACAGCCAGTGCTGCCAACGTATTTCGCGCGCACACGACGTTGCCTGCATGTTACGCGCTCACTATTTCGTGCCTTCACATTGCAAATCTGGAGTGAGACAAAGTAATTAGAGTGAGACAATGTTAACATTGTCTCACTGATGAGCGAATTGGCCACTTTGCTTTCTCAAATCAGTGAGAGAACATGTACATTGTTAGGTAACTGTAGGAAAAACCTCTTAACCTCTGACTTGCAGAGATATTGGGAAGTTTAAAGAATTTGTAAGGGGAATTAAAAAAAACCCAAGTGGCTGATTGATGCACATTGGGCAGTAAAGTCACCCATAACGATGATGATAATGATGTGACACTGTAATCCTTTTTGTTTTACGAAATTGTAGTTGAATACTGGTATTTTCAAGTAATTACTCTGAACTTAGAAGTTCTCTACATTTTTATATTGATATTACTTATAAATTAATCTTTGTTGCTTCACGTAGACATCAACGTTAATTAATACAGCATGGAAAACAAAGGTATACCTTTGTATATAGGTTATATACAAAGGTATACATAAAATAGTTTGTAATTTTAAAACTGTGTGGGGAACATGAAGTTAGTTATCTGATGTATGATATTCACTATAATCAGGTTGATAAAATACTTTATGACCAATTAAGTTTTTTTACAGATGATCGAGGGCTTCTACTCTACTTCTACTTGCCCATAGCAGCGGTGGTGGTCACCAATGTTGTCACGTTTGTATCTGCTGCCATTGCATTGAGAGCTCACTCGCAACATACCAATATGCTTAACACAAGTGAGAGTCGCAGAACCAGTGACTCAGACATAGACAGGTAACTATCATTGTATTGGCAGCAAATAACCAGTAATTGGTATGCTATGCAAATGTTATGAGTTCAAGAAAGTGTTAAATTGTTATTTAGCAGCATACTCAAAGGAAAGAAATTGTTATATAGGTTAAATTATAACGATCTTTAGAAATCTATATGAATAAAATTACGGGCTTTTCTGTTACACTGGGTAGAATCATGAAGTTTTTTGTTATCTGAACCTTTAGGTTTCATAGCCCAAGAAAACCAAAACTGTTTCTACTTTGTAGAAGGCTATTCTATAAAAAACCAATCAGCCGTGGAGAAACATTCTATCTGCAAACTGTCGATGAAGTGTGAACGTTATTAGTTGTTAACAGCTTGTTTTGTTGAAGAGTATACAGAATTGGAGAGGGCCCATGCACAATTTGCAAATTTCAATAGGCTTCAAAACTTATTTCCAATGGAAAAATATTTATGCAATCAACTTTTATTTTTCAAAGATCAAGATCTAAGTGATGAAGCCTGAATTGTGATTTACCTCAATCATGTTGCCCCTATTTAAAATAAATTATCAAAAAAGTACCCTATTTAAAATCTATTTTCACAAACTGTTCTTTGTCTCTTGCTTACTGTGGTTAAACATTCAACTGAAGGATAGCTGTTAGTAAAAATTTCTTATTTACTGTTATAAAGAAAGTTGGTCAGCAACACTGGATCTTTGGAAGTGAACTCTAGAAACTATATAAACACATGGGGGCGAAGCCCTGGAGGAAATTACCTTTTTCGTTACCATTCCCAGGTGGGCTTATCATAAGCTCTAAAATTACACCTCAATTGTGAAAATAAGCGGGGCAGCTGAAAATGGGCGTAACAAAGAAAACCATGATTGGATTAAGTTTTTTCTATTGTTTAGAGATTGAATAAATAACAATCCATAAATGGCTTGGTTTATCATTGGTACGGTACCTAAACCTTTATTAGAATCACACTACATGAATTTTTTCCACTAAAATAAGGAGATGAATTTGTGCTTTCAGGAACTGTATAATACAATGATATATCCAAATAACTAAAATGCGTGTAACCACAAAAGCAATTTTACACATATGAACCCTAAACAGCTAGACGTGTGATTGCATGTGTAATATGTGGGGGCACGGATATTAGAACAGTAACATATGGCCTTAAACATAACCAATTTATGTGTGTAACTAGCTCGAATGTAAACAAATAATTGTAACATAATGTACTGCTCATATTTTTGTTGTCAAATGGTATATTTCCATTTTAATAATAAACTTTTTTATTTGTTTGTGTTTATGATCCTCATATTTTAACTGGGTGTGTAATCAAGTTCGGTTGTAGATATATTCTATCTGAATGAGTTTATGTACCATGAAAACTTGAACATGTGTATTAAAAGCGTGTTTTCTACGTAGTTTGCAGCAAAATATTTAAAACATGTTAACAACAATAAGGATTGTCAATAAAAGCTGTAAATATCAGGTTGCAAGCCCTGGTGTATATGAAAGGCAAAAAAAATGTTGTCAACAGCTGAGGATTTCTAGTGGAAAGCATAATTGTTGTTGTAAACACTGAAAAACTGTAGAAACAATTTTGAACAAAGAATTAGCATTCTTAGGATTACCGGTACTGTAAACCTTCGTTTATAACACATGTTGTAAACTCTGGTATTTACGCAGCGTTATGAACAGTTCACGTGTAGAAATCAATATTACCTTTAGGACTTACTACTTGTTCTGCCCGTGCAGCCACAAGGAGAGAACGTTGAGAAGATATGTTGATTCTTCACCACCTTGTCCAATGCAAACTGCTGGTTGATTAAGCGTTTGTTCTTGATGTAAATTAACTTAATTAATGTCCGTGTCACAAGGAAAAATACTCTACAGATGCATTTTTCCCAGCTGGAACATATAAGGCTCCGTCTAAACTCTATGTTTCTTAAGTGTCACTTAATTATATACACAACATTTATCTGCAACATCAATTGCTGTGTTTTAATATATAATACTGAAGAAGTTTAATTGTTTTGAACTTATAAGAAAACAATTGAAACATATTTAAAAGGTTTGAACACTTTCCCACATTATAAGAAAAACGTACTGTCACTTCTCTTGATGCAGTGTAGAAATCTATGGTTATTCTTTCAAGGTTATCAAGGAAAAGTAAACAAACTAAAAATACGAATCTAATTCTAACAGCTGATGTATCTTCAATCAATATGAGTAAAGTTTGAATACTTGTTACTTCGATCTGGGGATCGGCACATAAAAACACGTTTATACCATATTTATAGTAACGGTATAACTAGGTTCTGTGTCAAAAATAAGTTCTTGTAGACCAGTGGTATAGCCAGGAAAAATCTATTTTCGCCATAATAGGAGTATAAACTTTAGAAAATTTAATATGGGCCTTATGGGATAACATTCCGCCATTCTTTTGATTTGTTTACCTTTTAAGACCTACAATTTTATCGTGTGAGACAGAGAAAAAGAGAACGACTTTGCTCCTGTTCATTCATAGAGTAATGAGTAAATTGTTTAAGAGTTGTACATTATAATAAAAACCTTTCCTGGGTAATAAACAAGTAATATTCTAATCCATTAATAACCAACTTATTCTGATATCATCTTCAGCTTGCTTAAACTGTAGATTTTTGCTAACAAAACACGCAATTAGGGCTAAATAATTTACATTAAAAATATTTTAAACTAACAGTTTTATAATCACAAAACCTAATTATTATTCTTTTCGTTGGTTGTCATCTGATTCTGATTCTATTCTCATTCCAATTTCGTAGTCTCAGTCTGATGGAATGAATGAACATTTACAGGAATTGTAAAGCCTGCCTTATAAGTTATTACGTATTGCAAGCAGTGTAGATTGTACTGGATGATAAGGCCATCTATTTCAGAAAAATAAAATCTCAAATAACTTAAACCAAAACACAAAAATCTATTATAAAGTTTTAAGTTAACTGTTTTGAGTTGGATGCGCTCTCATGTTAGGTTAGCCGGTAAATAGGTTAGGTTTCGATTTTTTTTAGTTAGGCCTTACCTAGTTTGGGTTGGGTAGTTAGGGTAGTTAGGTTGGGTTGTAACTGTTTCATTTTATAATTGGTTATAGTACAAAAAAATATCGAACATCTGCATCTGACATCTCTGTCACTGTTGGATCAGCCAATCAAAATACTTCATTCGCCCTATGTGCATGAACTCCAATTGAAATAAAATTATGGACCCGGACCATGTATGTTATCTTATCAAGGAATGTAATTGTCTTATTTCGAATTATCTTTTTGTTTTTTGTTTTTCTTGCTATTATTTTTATTTCTCTGACACTGGTTATCTATTTTTGTATCATACATTTTACAACTTCTTGTTTTGAGCTCTGATTGTCCAAACTAATTGTGTTTGGACAAATATATGCAGTTGTGTGATTAAAAATTTTACCTTTTGTCATATTAAAATCCATTTTTAGCCCCTGAGCTGTGATATAGTTATTGAGCTGTGTTCGTGTTTCGTGTTTCAACTATGACGACGCTACTTCAGCTGAATGTTCAACGTCCGACGATGGCATTATAATGCCGAAACGGCCGTAACTCAAGTTACAACAGATTGAGCTGTAGACGAAGGTAAATACCTATTTTTAATTTTTTGTCATATCTTTGAACAGGTTCAATCTTTACCTGAGGCTGTTCATTGTGATGGGAGTCAATTGGATAATGGAATTATTTGCCGTTTATGTGGGAGGACCAAAGATTTTATGGTTTATACCGAATCTTGTCAACACACTGCAGGTTAGTAATGTCAGTACAATCCCAAGTAGCATAACAATGTTGTTTCAATGTTGTTCTCAACATTTAATCAACATTAATTTAATATTGCCCCAATATTGATCAACGTGGTAACAATATTGTTACAACGTTTTCGTGAAACAAAATACATTGTCTTGACAATGTTGTCTTAATATTTTTCAACGTTGTTTCAATGTTGTTTTCAACATTTAAACAACATTCATTCAATATTGCCCAAATATTGATCAATGTGGTAACAATATTGTTACAACGTTTTCGTGAAACAAAATACATTGTCTTGACAATGTTGTCTTAATATTTTTCAACGTTGTTTTAATGTTGTTTTCAACATTTAAACAACATTCATTCAATATTGCCCAAATATTGATCAATGTGGTAACAATATTGTTACAACGTTTTCGTGAAACAAAATACATTGTCTTGACAATGTTGTCTTAATATTTTTCAACGTTGTTTCAATGTTATATGGAAATATTAAGCCAATATTAAGACAATTTTGAAAAAAATTTAGAAATTATCAATTAACAATATTTTGTTAACATTAACAGTATTTTGATTATTGTTTTTACAACATTGTTTAAGTATTTTTGTATCGGCTGTATTATCCTGTCAATATTAAGCTAATATTTTAAAAAATTCACAAAATAATTGTTAAACAATCTAAGTATTCAAAATACTTCGGCCTGCATAAATGCATAATAAAAATGTCAAAACAAAAAAAAAACTCATTTTAGGTAATACTCTATTGACTGACAAAACTATTATTAATATATTATTTTATTCTTGAATAACAGTAGGCTATGCTATTTCATAAAATCTGCAAAAAGTATTTCTGTGGAATATTGTTGACATAAGTTATGTATATTTATTTCAAGAAAAAGGTAAAATATAACGTCACAATTTAAAAATATTTTGTTTATTCTTTCACAAAGCCCAAAATATACATTTTTTATAGAAGGTCAAATCACAAAAGTATAAGAGACCAAAAAACCAAGCGAACAAAATATTCTTATAATATATCAAATCTGTAAACAAAAGTAAATCACTTTCAAGATTTAAAAATTAATAACTGTAGGCTCAATGTATAGGCCTAGTGATTGTTGAAAAGTGTTTATATCTTCGCTGACATCTCCATAGGCCCGATTCTCTTCGACTGTAGCGGCATCCTTCCCTTTCCTAAAAAAAAGTCTTTGTGTCAAGTTTATTTTGCATGGGAATTGGGAGTATCTGAAAGTATAGAACAAGAACAGCTGCTATTTCATGTTGTTGAGGGTTGGATAGAGCTTATGAAGTACATCAGGCATGTTTGATCTATGTTCCACGCTCTCACAATTTTTATTTCAGCTAATACTGCGGTTTCATTGTGGACGAAATGAGAGTAAAAAAATGAAAAAAAAATATAAAACCTAACCGCCACAAACTAACATAACTAACCAAACTTGCTAATAATATAAAAAGAGATATAAGATAAAAATCTAATGAAGGTTTACTACCTATTCGAAAAAATTGTTCTGTTCATAAAATAATATTATAAATGCCTCAATTTCTAACATAAAATGAAGTAATCACATTCTAAGCAAAATCTTTAACAAAAAGTTAGTGTCACTGGAGGGATTCAAACTGGATAACTCTTAGACATCGTTGATACTAGTTGCGAGTCAACTTTATCATGAGTATAATAATATACTCTATCCACTGAGTACTCTATCCACTACACAACATCGATAGTTGAACTTCGTATCGTTGCGCTAATGGTGTTCTCTCAAGAGAAGAGAGTGACGTCAGACCGTGACAGCCAATAGAATGTTCTCATTTCGTCCGTATTGAAAACCGCAGCTGAAATAAAAATTGTGCCTCATGGCCCTGGCCCACTTTAAAATAACTATTTTAAGGTTAAACGTAGCCTTGGAGATTGTTAATGGTTTGCAAGGTCTGTAATTTAAATACTCCCTTTTCCACTATTTTCTCCACTGTCAAAAACATTTTGCATATAACCATTGACTAAATTGTTGAATAGGGCCTACTTGTATTAATAGCCAAATATAATACAAGACCTATATTAACCTATATTATGTATGAAAGGCATGTATTAAAAAATTTAGTTAGGCAGAGATAGAGTCAGAAGAGAGTATAAAGGCTTATTTATTTACTCTTATACAAGCTTCAAATTATCTAGAAATATTTTAATATTGCTATTTATTGCCTTATTTTTAGTTAATGAAAACAAAAACTCAACATAAACAATGCGGTAGGCTGTTGTAAAATTAGTCATTCGAGGAACGATTTCCTAAACATACAACAAAACCAAAAGCTATTTTTTGCCATTATATGAAACCGTTTAGAGGCCTACCAATATATTTTACAAACCGGTAGTCAATATATTTCTTGGCTACCGTACTTCAAACATTAGGTGTCAGAGAGAATCTAACTTTATTTTTTTTTTTTTTTTTAGTGAAATGATCAAATTTGTTTAATCTTTTTAAGAGGGTGAGCAAATTTGCGTACAAAAACGCCACGTACTATCGGTTCAATAACGAAATACTAAGTATTTATATTATTTCGGACCAAATAGGCTCGATTCAATCGATTAATGGTTGAATGAATACATATAATGAACACTGTTACCGTACCGCGACAGTACGAAGTGCTGCCATCGGTGTTCGAGGTGAAGTGGATAGTGTTCGGCTCATAATCAAATACTTATCAGACCGAATCCCACCGGTGACACTAACATTTTGTCAAAGATTTTGCTTAGAATGTGATTACTTCTTAACTGTACATCTTTTTTTAGAATTTGAGGCATTTAAGTTATAATTTTATTTTATGAACAGAACAATTTTTTCAATAGTAAACCTTCATTTGATTTTTTCATTAACAGCATGTTTGGTTAGTTAGGTTAGGTTATGACAGTTTGCGAAATCACATGGCGTTTTTAGACAAAAAAGTGCTCACCTTGATAGCCTACCTAGTTTTTACCATCTGGTTAGCCTACTTTACTAATCGATCTTGGCTGAGATTACCTACAACGTAGCCTCATCAGACACAACACTCCCTATGATTATTAATACATGTTTTGTGATTTGATTAATCTAGTCAAACGATAGGCCTAGCCATACAATATGATATAAAGCAATTATTAATATTTAGACAATTACATGCAATTGATACTGTCATGAAAGCTTGAAAAGCACAAGTCAGTCATACAACAGTAAAATATGATACATTAAAGCAAAATAAGTTAATAAGTTCATTGTACTAAAAACCAAATAAACTGATAGCTATATTTTAGAAAAAACATCATGCAAGATTAATAGAGCTAAAGTCCGCTTTGAAAAATCTTTAAGTCTGTAAAAGGGCCTTACAATACAATCAACCATGCATACATCACATTCTTAAAACTATCTAGGCTAACATGCTGAGCTGACAGAGGAAATCAATTGAAAAGGTCAATTACCTGTAGCTTCAAAGGATGTTAGAAACTTGGTCAGTCTTGTGTAGAGTCTACTGATTTTATTTTGACCTCGTGCCCCATGGTTTTATACGTGCCTGCGTGCCTGTGAAGAATGAGAGAGTTTAAGTTAAGGGATTTTTGTATTTATGTAACTTAAGACACCTGCAAAAATGTACAGGTTGATTACTGTTTGAATTAGGCTTTAATTACTGTGCCATATTCATAAGCAGTGCGACTAAGTTAAAACAAACAAATAAGAATAGCCTATATAAAGTACAGCAAACCTTGATCGGAACAGAACAAGTTAGGCCTACCAACAAATTAATGTAAGTTAGTTAGGGGTACTTTCCTGTTAGAGAGACATTCATTATTATTGATGATTTTACGATCTTAGTTTTGGTTAACGAAAACAAAAACTCAACATAAACAATGCGGTAGGCTATTATAATATTAAAGAGTAATTTAATGGTACCTATTAACTAAAATAACAAAACCCAACTACACTAATGTAAAGTGAAATGTAAAGTGATGATGTTAACGACTGATATTTTAGTTTAAAATATCTTTTTAGTCTAACGTAAAACTGATATTAGGCTACTGTAGTTGAAATGGTAAGTTAGTGGTTGAAATTAACTTAGTAACTTAACCCTCCAAGTGTCTCTACTTTTGGTCTTAATGTTCGCCCATTTATTGCGCAATCGCAGGGTTTTATTAAAATGCATCTTAGAAACTTAAAAACAATGTAAAGTAAGTTATACTGTTTTATATATCATTTTGTTTGGAAAATTATGGGCTTCAAGGTAGGCCCTAACATATTAAACATTACAAAAAAAATTTCAACAATTTTTGTGGGGTTAAGTTAACATTTCTCAAAAATTATAAAATAGGCTAAATGAAAAAAAATTATGTTTGCGCTCAATAAGTTGTTACAATTTATCGGTCTACAAATATCTTAAAATAGCCACTTTGTTCAGAATTTTATGAGGATTCCAAAAATATAATAATATAAGGAAGTAGATTTGAAAATAAATAAGTTAAGTTATGGGCAAAAAACCGATTTCGGTACATAGCGTTTAGCTAAGAATGCATAGCCTAACCATAGCTAGGAATCTGGCTGATAATTTACATCAATATCACTACCTACTTCTTCAGGATCATCAACCAGCCCTTCAAAATCACTTAAATCTTCTTATAATGCGCCACGTATATCACTACTTTTGATTTTAACACTAAAACAATGATAAACGTAATAAAACACATCAGTCATCGGTGCGAGGTTAACCAAGCTGTTTACAAATACGCACGTCAGCTGTCTGCTACAATATTTTCGGAACTAAAATGAAGAAACAGACATCAGGAGAAAGCTCTGAATCTGCTGAAAAAAATGATACCTAACTCGATCCAGTTCAATCCGATTCAGCCAGTCCCAGAGCCGTCGCCGTAAACAGTGTTTGTGAGTCGCAAAAGCGACACATAACACCACAGCGGGTGTGTTATGAGTCGCTTTTACGACACATAACACTCGGAGGGTTAAGGTAGAGCCTATCGTAAAATCAATTTAGGCCCTAGCATAAAAGTTATTTTAGGTTTTAAATAACATATGTACCGGTATTGTTATTCTGCCTCGTGCCTGTGAAGAATGTGTGTTTAAGTGCTTTTTGTATGCAAGAGACAAGCAAAAATGTACAGGTTAGTTAATGTTTGAGTTAAGTTCAAATTACTGCCATAACTTAATCATAAGCAGTGTGACTAAGTTAAGTCATAACAAACATAAGAATAGCCTATAAGTTAAAGTAAAGCAACCTTGACCGGTATAGAACAAGTTAGGCCTGCTACCAACGAATTAAATAAGTTAAGGCTAAGTTAGTTAGGTACCTATGAACTAAAATAACACAGATACCCAACTAAAGTGATACGGTAATGTTAACAACTGATCTTTCAGTTTTAAAATAATTTTAGTATAAGCTTAACTTTTTACTGTTAAGGCTACTGTAAGTAGTTGTAATGGTAGGTTAAGCTACTTTACTTTAGAGGTCGAAATTAGTGTAGTAAAATCGATCAATGCAGGCCCTAGCATTAAAATTATTCTTGGGATTAAATAACTTATTAAGTTGTTCCGCTTATAAAAAGGCCAACGGTAACTTAATGTAGGTTAGGCCTAGGCCTATTTTAAATTTACAAATTATTGACCAATTCATAGGATAATTAAATTGTAGCCTACTTTGAAGTTGTAAATTGGCTTTGGTAGCCTATGTAACATAAGTTAAGTTTAGGTAAAATAATATTGACATCCTAGGCTAAAATATGTCAAAGGTTAAACTGCAATGGCAAAACAGGAAAACACATTTTCGTCTAAATTAAGGTTAGGTAAAAAAGATGTGAGATGATTCAAGCCTTGGAGATGATTAACTTATGACTTCAATTTTCTCGGCAAATGCATTCACAATGATCTCAATGATTAGGCTAGGTTTTACTTTTTCTTTCAGCATTCAAATGAGATTTTTTTGTTTGCTTATAAATATTAGCCTTATTAATTGGCCTAACTTATTTAGCCTACATAGCCTTGCATACTATCACACTTACATATTTTATTTGTGTGTTAACAATCAATCTTAGCAGTCGGTACTGCATTTGTAGGTTAAAAGATTTTAATAAATTAGGCTTGGCTCTATTAAGTTACGACTAGAGTGCAAGCCTAGCCTACTTTGATAATATGTAACTATGAATGCAAAACTTAACTTGATAACAAGATGCACTTACCTTGAAGCTGGTATCTCAAGTTGACCACCATTAAAAAACTGTATTCAGCCGTAAATAATTGTATTATTATACATCAGAATCTCAAAGCAAAGGGAAAAATACAATCATTGCAACATGGTGTGAAGTGAAATAAAAATTACGAGATTGAGACTAGGACTAGAGATGATTGAAAGATTGATTGAAATGAAAGATGCTCTGGAGCTGCCGAGTGCCGATGATGGAAGATGAGATGATGAAGATGGATGCTACCTGCTACCATTGCTACCATGCTAGATGCTAGCTAGCTACAGTTAACAGTAGCTAAAAGATAGATCCATCCGCGCGCGTTTTAATGGCGCGCACAAGAAAATAGTTCTAATTTAAATTGAAGATATTTTTGTTTCTACCCGTTTGGGTAGAACTTTTATTTTAGTATTTTGTTTTTAGCATCAACCTTATTCCCTTTATTACTTAATAAAAGCCTAGTTTATATTTATTTTGATTTTCTGGATGAGCTGAGTCCATAAACAGTTTTCAATCTTATTAATGTTGTTTCAATGTTGAAATAAAAATTATTTCAACATTATTCAATATTGACAACAATGTTTTCAATAAATGTTGATCAATGTTGGGAAAATAATGTGTTAATGTTGAAATAATGTTTTTTCAACATTAATCAATATTATCAAACAATATTTTCATAAAACGTTGATCAATGTTGGGAAAATCTTGCTTCAACATTAAAACAATATTCTCAGAACAATATTGTTGACAATGTTAAGCAACATTATTTCAACATTTTAACAATATTGTGTTGCTACTTGGGATATGACAACTTATACTATTTCAACTTGACTTGTGATTTTAAAACCAGTGCATCATAAAACATATTATCTTAATACTGTAATATTCTTTTTCCTTGTTTTCAGGGTGTGTTTATCTTCATTATTTTTGTCTGTAAGCGCAAAACACTGAAGATTCTCAACAAAAAGTTGTGTCCGCAATGGAATGTCATGACAGACACAAGTACAAACAGTAGTACCTCAACAACTAGAACCACTTCTATTAGTTCAAGATCAATGTATCACAGTCAAGACACAGTTCTCAAACCTCTACATGGCGACATAAAAGATGAATACTAGGCGATGGATATTTATAAACTAGCAAAAGCCTGTGCATAATGTTTTCAGGAAGTAAACACATTTTTTCTTTACCTACTCCTTTTTGGCTATTCTGATCTAAAGTTTCAATTACTAATTTTAAAATGTGAAGTTTTTTGTGTGTGGCAACCTTTATTTGACCATCATAAATGTGTATTGATAAACATTGACAGGTTTGTGTAGGGAAAGGATCAAGGAGAACGTATAAATATAAACAATATAAAACTGCTGAAACTCATAATAAAAATTCAATAAGTTAAATTCCAGTCAACCATTTGGTTTGATACCAAAAGTAATTGCATGAGTTTTAGTGAGTGTTCTCGTATAAAAGACAATTGAATTTAAGCAGAAAGTTTTTGGGCAAGAGGTTGTCAAATTGGAAGGCAAACCTATAAAATCTGGTTAACTAATCCTAAATCCAAACCAAACAACTGTATAATTAAGTTGTTATTACCTTTAACTTTACCTTTGTTCTTGAGTAGTACTTTTTATACTATCCTATGCACATTTTACCAGCTTGTTTCGCATCTTCAGGGCGTCTTCTTATGTTGTAACCCGATCACTAACATATTAACTCATGTCATCATTACTATGTCGACGGACACGCACACTGAGGTAGGTCTTGGTCGGGGACTGTTGACATTTGGGACATTCGACGACAGTTGAGGACAGGGACTTTCCAGGTTTATGATCGGATGCTTTGATTTTTGATGAGTTGCCGATTTTTTTTATTTTTATGTTTTCTCAGTTGTCTATTGTATGTAATTTGAAAATTGTAGAAACATGTACACAATTTTCTCTAAACCACAATGTAAAAAACCAATACATAGACAACACCAGCAGGTACGTAATTTTTCCAACTATTCTTAAACCGTAATAGCCTACAAGTCACCACCAATCCCACGTCAATGGTTACCAAACACCTAAAACAACACCCATCTCACTCAACAACATTTCCCGACTCGCGTACTATTCTGTACAAAAGGCACTCAAAACTTTTAGTGAAAGTACAAGAAAGTTAGTATTTATTGATCGAACATCCTTATAAGCATATAAACAAAAAAATACTACACTAGTACTCTAGTACTCACTAGTACTACACTAGTACTCTTTCAAATTCATACTGATGGTCATCCTCACCCTCCGTCATGGAGGGTGAGGACAATTGGCCCTTTGTGTCACATTACATCCAGGGTATTCTCCGCGCCAAGAAGCTCGACCTTGACCGGGATGCGGTGTAGGTCATAAAGAATCTAAATGCCAGAAACAGTGAGAGCCCTGAGGGCTTAGGTAACATGTTGGCCTGACTTGAACTAATGTGACAAACAATTCCAGGTCTGTGTCCAACAGAGTAGAGGGGGTTTTTAGTGAGTAGTCTTTGATAAGTTCAGGAGTCTCACACTACAGGCTATCTACCTGTGTGCGTAAAAGCATTTTCCCTCCTCTCCCTAAAAAAGCTCTTTCAAATTAATCAACTTCGTAAACTAAAAGCAGCAACAAACCAGCAGCTCCACTAAGCATCCGTCCGGTAACTAACCTGGTAAGTTCCTACCTACTATCGACGAGGAACACCCAACCTCAAAATGCCAAAATCCCTAGCCCGAGAAATGAAAATGAGAAAGTAAGACCTCCTGCCCCTCCGCATGATGTTGTTGCTCAACCTGACTACGATAAATGTGTAACATCCATGTGTGTTAATATTTGTAAATATATAGGCTATGGTGTTGGTGATAGGGCTACAGAATAAGAAGACGCCCTGAAGATATCACACAAGCTGGTGATATGTGCATAAGGATAGCATACAAACTACTACTCAAGAACAACGTAAATAAAAGAGGTAATAATCACTTAAATATAATCAATTTCTTGAACTTGGGATAGCTAAAAACATACAAACAACTGAAGTTATAGAACGGTCTCTAGTATGCTAATGTGTATAAGTCAAGCGGCGTGATAACCGTATAACTCGTTTTCTAACCGGAACATCGTGGTTTATAGTATCAAAGGCCTTAGACATATTATAAAAGCGAAAATTTGTATTACTGTCCATATTGAGATAATTTTCTTTTTAGTAAAATTAACAACGGCTCCAACAACAACTTAAGTGATAATCAGTCAGTTAGGTTAGTTATATCATATTTGGCAGACAAATATCAATTATCAATTATTTAAGATGGGGACGCCACTATGTGCGTATTTTAACCCAAATATGAGTGAAGGATGAGTGTAGGATGAGTGGCGCGATCTTGTAGTCTTGTTAGTGACTAAGGCCGACATGTTCCTTAGACACAGCTGTTAATTAATAGCCCATACAGCTAATGGCAACTAAGGGACCTACAGTTTATAGTGGAATCCGAACCAAATTTTTTCCTTGTAATTTACGAATTGGTCTAATTATCAGGATAGTACTGCGGATAGTCGTAGTACTCACTAGTGCGGACGTTAATCCAATACGTATTTTTATGGTAATTCCTCTCAGTATTTAAAGGTTGACACAGGTGTTCCGCAAGGTTAAATTTTTGGTCCAACCATGTTCATAATATATGTCAATGATTTACCGGTAGCTTTAAGTAAAGCTTGTGTGTCAACCTACATTTAAGCTGATGACCTTACAGTTCAGATAAGTTACTCAAATGATAATTTAACCAATCAAATTCTCAATAATATCAACCTGACTGTTGAGGAAGGTCTCAAATTTATTACTCTTCATCAATCCAGGAGGCAAAACATGGGTAAATCTCAAATTTACTATGTCTCAAGAAGAATACTCAAATCCTCAAATTAAACCTAAGTTCATATTCTCAAAACACTCCTGAAGCTGTTAGGTTTTTAAGTATAGTTCTACAACCTAACATTAAATGGAATAATCATGTTGTCATTGTGTGCAAAAAAGTGTCTAAAGGTATTTTTATGATTAGACATTTTAGGTTGATTGTTGATTTTAATGTTTGATACCAATATACTTTGCTCGCGTTCAGAGTCACCTATCGTATGGAATTGCTGTGTGGGGATGTGACAGCAATGTTAATGAATTTTCAGACGAGAGTTTTAATAATTATACGTAAAGTAAAAAAAAACTCACTGTACACCTGTGTTTAGAAAACTTGGTGTTGTAAAGAAAATCTATCTATCTATATAATAATAGGCAAGCATGTTTCTTTAAAACCTTTTTTCTTAGCTTGTGTGCATCGCAGGGAAAATCTACGCATACTGTTAGAAAGATATTTTCCTGTAGATGTGCAGAGTCCCCTTAAAAATTAAAACAGGCTCAAATATAAGCACAAAAAATGAATTTTTTTTTTTATTAACATGGGCTTTATTGATTGTCATGCTGGTGACGAAATAACAACGAATTATAAACAGAAAATCAAAACAAATGTAAGAAATTACAATCACATGCTTTATTTACAGGGTGGGGTGGAAATAGAGAAGCCTATACCTTCGACCATTTGACTTACAACATTTCGTTCCCATCCCAATGTTAAGTTGTCGCCAGTTTTTAAATTGAATTAAATTCGTCGTAGTTGATATGAGCCACCAACAGGTTTCTCTGATCAAAATTAGTAATTTCTGTAGAATACACGATGTTTTTTATCAAGTAAAACTTTTGGAACTATTATTATGAGTTATAGCAACTTTTATGACCCATCTACTTTATCAGCAACAAAAAAGGTAGAAAATAGAATTTTAGACGCACATTCTTTGACTGGCTCACACAACTAAATGTTTTTTAAAATACAAAAATGGCGACAGCTGGTCCATATAGGTGGGATGTCTACTGCAGTATCCAATAGTCAATGGGTGTAGATTACTATTGGTCGAGCTTTCGACCACTGGACGACCACTAGTACTTATTTAATACGCAAGCAGAATTTTTGTGACAATTACCTCTCCGAAACTACTGAACCGATTGACATGTTTTTTGTATCATTGGTAACGTGAAGTTGTGCAGGAAACTTTCTTTTTAGGTAAATAATTAGAGTGAGGCCCTGGGGCCCTTTTAAGTTTCGTAATTCTCCATAAGATTAACATGGGAAACAAACATTGTTTTGAAACTCCAGCTGTTGTTAGAAATGGAATATTAATAATTGGTTTCCATGGAAGCATGAGAAAATTCACAATGTTTACATTTGCTTTGACATTTATATGCAAACAACCAGAACTGTTAAATGCCTTTTTCACAATTTCAGACAGCTGATCAAGAAAAAAAAATAAAACAACTATGTGGTAGGTTTATTCAATCTTAAACTTTATGATAGATTATAATTTTATTATAAATCTATTTCAACGATCATGAAGCAGATTTTTTCCGTTGCGAAGCAAAATTCAAAAGTGAGAAGAAGAACATGTTAATTGTAAACAGTCAATGTGTAAATTATCTATATTGAATTAAAAACGTGTATAGTTTTGGATGTTGGTTTGCGTTTAATTATAAGTTATTAAGAATTGAATTTTTATTTGAAGGAATGGGTATATGAGTATGCCTATGATAAAAATAACACCATTTCAGAGTTCTACCAGTTTTTGCCTAACACTTTTTTTTTGTAGAGTCTAAAGTAGCCTACACCTTATTGTCTACAAATTGGCTAAATAATTTAGGTACGGTACATTATAAAAGCTGACAGCCTTTTTACGTTGACTTAAGTTGTAACCTTTTCCCGTCCATGTGCAGTTTGATAGTTAAAAATTAACCCTTTAAACTGAAATAGGACTGTTATGTAAATTGTGAGTATTTCCATTAGTTAATAATCTTTTAGTCGACTCTTTCAAAATCATCGGAAATTATGACTGTTATTAGTTTTTAAACAAGTCATTTGTTTATAAATAGCTCCTGTATTGCTTTGCAATTGCTCGATTTCGAGCAACATGTACACTAGTCTTTATAAAATATCCCTGCTTACAATTCAATGCATTCATTTTATACCAGGCAGAGACATTTTATCAACATTCACCAATGTAATCAGACTACCATTAAATCAATGTTTGAATTAGGTAAACA